GGGGGGGGGGGGCTCCCCTTACTTTAGAGTTTGGATTGTGGCTATTCATGGTGTATATTTGTACTACACATGGAAAAGGTCCCTGTTCAATTTTTCCTAGTGCCAGAACTCTCAGATGACCTTTGTGAATTCAACCATGTTGGCAAAGATAAAATACAAAGGATCACATTAGCAAATCCATATGAATTTGGTGTCAATCAGTCACATAAGAATTTATCAGGTGGTGCCATGGTTTGATAGGTAACAGGAAGTAGAGAGATAAATCTTTTATAAGGGAGAAGGAGCTCAAAATTTGCAGGCAGGGAGTGAAAAAGATGTGTCATGTACATGTACCAGCTCCCCACAAGGAATGGTAATCCTTATGCACCGCAAACATGTACTAATAAAAATTTTAAAAGGGGGGAAAAAGCAGAAACAAAAACGAGACCTAGTTGCTGCCTTCAAGTAACTTCTAAGCTGCTAGAACATTTGAAACCAATACAATTTATAGCAACAGAGATGATGAGACAATACAGGAGTATAGAACTGAAAGAGAAAAGGGTTTCATGGGCAAAGAAAGCTGGTTGGTTTCCTCCCTCTGTTACTCACAATATGGTTTATCCTGATACTCAGCATCAGTCTAACCTCAGTGTTATATACTCACCCCTCTGTAAAATTCTGAATGACACCCATTCTATCAAGTAATTCTAGGGATTAGTTTGATGAAGTATGTCCCAGTGGCTAGCAGCATCTGGCACTCGACCAGAGCTCAGTGGTGTCAATTTTGTTCCTGCCTTATTGAAAAGTAGAATATGATTTCCATGCTCTAATTATATATGCTGATGGGCCACTGAGACTATGAAAAATAGTAAAAATTATCTGTATGGATGAGGGAATCAGAGATTATATTTTTCTTTTTAAGGGTTTTTATTGTATTGCAGTATTCCTTGGAATATTAATAAGAGTTACAACTTTTAAAATCTAACTTATCCCGGGGGATAAGAGATAATCCTTGTGATAATGGGTGTGTTGACTTACTGTTTCCCAAAAGAGATAGTCTGTAAAAAAATCAGGTTATAGTATGTAATGGTCTCTTTTCACTAAAAGAAAAGGAGAGATCTGAATTTTTTTCAAGCCTGATTTTCTTGTTATACAAAAATTTCTTTTCTTTCTCTCTGTGTGCCAAAGATCACTGGTGCTCCAAAGGACCACATGTCAAAGATGTCTCCGTAGAAGCATGCTCTCTGCGGGGACGGGGCCATCTTCCCTTCTCGCAGTGCTCTCTGTTCAGAAAGACCATTAGTGACATTAACATGGGGATCAGGGAAGAGTAAGGAGCCAGAATCATCCAACTGTCAAGTCCAGACTGAAAGCCCTTGTGCCAGAGAAACAACACTCCTGGAGTCGGGCTCTCAACTCATCAGCCTTTGGTTCCTGGATGAATGGGCTACCAAGCTCACTGGCCAGTGTATAGCTCCGCTTGCACCCTGACCCTGCTTAAAGACTATCTGTGCTCCCAGAGGCCCTCAGAAGAAACACAAACTCCAATACAGGCAAATGTGGGCCTACAGCTTGGCAAGCTGTGGCCTTCCCTCCTGTAGAATCCCTAGTGCAGCCAAGTCAGCTGAGAGTAATCTAAGCACATGCTCTTTGGGTCTGCACATCCAGTTAGGCCCCTTCTCTTCATGGTCTCCAGCAACCATATCTCTTGTCTCTTGAGACAAAGAAGGATGCCTTATAGATCAGTTCTAGAAGGTTCTAGAAGTTCACAGTGCTAACAATGAAAACTAAAGTTTTAAAACATTAACTCATTAAGACTAGATGCATTAGATTACACATGATATTAACAGTATAGCTCTGATCCCTAGTTTCTGACTTAGTGAAAGACAGCTGGACTCTCACATGTGTACCCTTGGCTTTCAGTTAGTTGGGATACTTTTTCTGGGTTGAAGTAGGCGAGGGAAATTGGCCTCACAGATACGTGGTAGGAAATAAATGAGTGTTTTAATAACTGTGTCAGGTAACTGGGAGTTTTATTCTTCAAAATTGCACCCACACTTGCAAAGGATGATGTCTGGCAGGTTAGTGGCCATATGGAATTTAAGCCATTTAAACCATGAATTTTCACATTCATTCATGTTAAGTTTACTGGTCTATCAGACATTCTGAATAGATCTTTTACACATACTTGATTTTGTACCATCATGCTCAGATTATTTGGAAAATATCTCTGCATTAAATTATGCATATTGTCCAAATGTTGACACATTTCATTCTACAATATCAAAGCATTACTTCCCTTAGTATTGTCATCATATCACTGAAAAAGTCTATCCTGGGGCATGTCAAACTCTTTCTGGGAAGTACACTTTCCTAACATTTTAATTTTTGCATGAAATCTCAAATGTTATCACTGAAAATACATATTCTCATTTGTTTTCTTTTTAATAAGTGGCCCACCTCATTTTCAGAAAAATATGTCAGATATCCAACCCTGAAAAAGCATAGTCTGTCAATTGCCCTTTCAAGTAAAAGTGATGTTTCATGAAATAGCAGCTGGCATATCTCAATTTGAGCAATCATGTGGTGCTTTACCACGAGATTAATCATCATATTTGAAGATCTGTTTTTACACAGGTGGGGGAAACTGACTTGTGAAACAATTACAGCTCAATATGATCAGTGTTAGAATGTCAAACAGTGGGAACACAAAACAGTGTTTGGCTCTCCTTGGAAAGCCTGAGAAAAACTGAAAAGTGCTTTGTGTGTCTTTCCCTGGTGTGTCAGTCAATTTTGTGTTACTGTAATGAAATACCTGAGGCAGGCTACTTCATAAAGAAAAGAGGCTCACAGTTCCACAGGTACACAGTCCAAGACCGGAAGGCCCCATCAGCTAGGCCTCCTAGTACTAGATGGTGTCACACTGGCAGAATGCATGGGGGAGGAAGACAGTATCTCCAAAAAAGCAAGCCGTAGAGAAGGTCAGTGTGCAGGCTTAGATCTGATAACAACTCTTTCCCTCACCAGAACTCACTCCGGAAAAGCAGGACTCCTTTTGGGGGTCACTACCAGAAATGATCTATGGACCCCTTCCTGGGCCCCATAGGGCCCTCTTAAAGGATCCATCGCCTCTCCCACTGCCATGTGATTAAGCCTGAAAACCTGAATACTCGGGGGGAAAATCACAATGCCAGATCATCACACAGAATATTATAAAGATACGCAAGGTCAGGATATAACAAAATTAACTCTTTTTATGGCTCAGTAAGAGAATTAAGACAACCTAGAATTTTTCCTTTCCTGCAGTGTGTAGCAATCAGACACACAGAGCCAGAATTAGCAGTGTGCCCCCAGCTCGTGCCAGAGCTCCAGTTTTCCCTACCACTGCTTCTGTACCGGCAGTGTAAGGTTCAGTGACAAACAGCAAGTCAGTTGTCAGTGCAGGCTGAGAGCAGAGTTCACAGATCCACTCTGGAAATGTTTATGCTGGACCCTAACTAACGTGAAGGAAAAGCCCTTCCTGTCCAGAATTGAGACAGCCAGATGAGACTGTGTCCCAAGAAATCGCACCTACTAGCCAGAGCAATTAGACAAGAGAGAGAAATAAAAGGGGTAAAGATAGGAAAAGAAGAAGTTAAATTATCATTGTTTGCAGATGACATGATACTCTACATAGAAGACCCCTAAACTCCATTGAAAGACTCTTAGATACAATAAATGAATTCAGTAATGTGGCTGGATACAAAATCAATACTCAGAAATCAATAGCATTCCTATACACTAACAACAAAATCACAAAGAGGGAAATAAGAGAAACCACACTCTTCACACTAGCAAGCAAAAAAAATGAAATATTTAGGAATTACTCTTATGAAAGAAGTGAAAGACCTATACAGGGAAAATTATAATACACTGAAAAAAGAAATTAAAGATGATCTCAGAAAATGGAAAGATATCCCTTGCTCATGGATAGGAAGAACAAACATTGTGAAAATGGCCATTCTCCCAAAACTGTTATACAGATTTGTTGGGAGCCGCGTCTGTGATAGTTCGCCTTACTTGGTGGACGTGCGGCCTGTAGTAAAGAGTGAAGCCTGAGGTAGATTACCCCTCCCATCGAATATGTTAGTTTCCTGCTTACCGCGTAAACAACCCGCTCAACAATATAGTCTGCCTAGCAACTGATGATGTTAGCCAATCAGCTTGCCTTGCTTACTTTAACATGATTGGACACTGTATCCGTATATATACCGGTGCCACCCCTGGGAGGAAGTAGAAGCCAGGTAGAAGCCCGGAAGTAGAAGCCCAGAAGGAGCTGCGGAGAGCGGACCGATAGAGGCTTCGGGGCAGACTGAAGCACAAGAGGAGCCGCGGAGAGCGGACCAAAGGAGGCTTCAGCTGGGAGAACCCAGGGCAGGCTGTACGGAGAAGAAGAATAAAAAGAAAAGGTTGTCCACTACCAGACTATGTCGTGTGTCCTTCCTGCCGGCCGGGAGCGGACATCGACATTTGGTGGCCCGTACGGGGACTGATCACCCCCGCGACGTGGAAGTGGACAACGCTCCAGTACAGAGCTGCGAGACAGGTGAGTTGGGGATAAGCCTGGGCTCTGGGTGGCGCGCACCTACAGGGCTTTTAGACTCCCCTCAGGCTCACGCGTAAGTGGCGGATTTTTGGGCCTCACGCGGTGAGTAACATATTAAAAAATGGGAAACATGCTAGGTAGCGGCACTAAGAGCGAGGGTGGTTGTGGAGAAAGCTCTCAAGAGCTTACAAAAGTACGCAGGGTATCTGAGCAGGCCCAGTCAGGGAGCTCCCGAGAGGGGTCCGTCAAGGGGAACAAGGATGCTAAGGAGGAGGACGGGGCTCTAGCCTCGGAGTCGTCTGACTCCGAGGACGAGGGAAAGTTGAATGGCAGGGAGGCCAAAGAGACTAGCTGTCAGGAGCCTAAGTCGCTCCATAAGGAGTCGGGTCTGCGGAAGAGTAGAGAGCTCCTGAGTGCGCCCCGGCGCGAGAGGGAGGCAGAGCCTTCCGCCCCACCTCGGGGGCCGTTTCCGGAGGCGATCCCTCGCCACGAGGCGGCCGCCTGGGAGCCCCCCCCCCTTTCGTCAGAACAGGAAGTGATGCACGGGCCCCCATTCTCCGACCAATCACGGCCACCGTCTTATGCTCCGCCGCCGGCGGATCGGTATTTTCACAGGTGGCTTTGGCAGGGGAGACGCTTGTTTCATGAGGTACATCCACCACCTGGGATGGATAGTGACCCCTACGAGATATTTCCTGTACAAGTAGCTATGGGTCAGGGACGCAATGTATGGGAGCCTTTTGAGATAAAGCAGATTAGAGAACTTAAAAATGCAGTTACAACCTTTGGGCCGACTGCGCCTTACACCATTGCCATGCTGGAGAATCTGTCTTCTGGGCCCCTCACCCCCGCGGACTGGATTCAGCTGGCAAAGGCCTGTCTGCCCTCGGGCAGTTACCTGGATTGGCGAGCCTGGTATGCAGAGTTCTCTGCCGAGCAGGCTGAGAAAAACGCCAATCGAGGAAACCGGGGGTGGAACAAGGAAATGCTTATGGGAGAAGGTCGGCACGCTGATGACCAGACCCAGTTCCCCGGCGCTGTCTATGAGCAAATCAATGCCATAGGACTCCGCGCCTGGAAGCAAGTAAGTGGTGCTGGAACAGCCTCCTTGTGTCTTTCAAAAATAATTCAGGGTACCACAGAGCCATTTGTTGACTTTGTGGCCCGAATGCAAGATGCTGCCGATAAGATATTTTCTGATCCGGGAGTGGCTCAACCGCTGGTAAGACAGCTGATTTTTGAGCAATGTACAAAGGAGTGCAAGGCAGCGATAGCTCCTCATAAGAACAAGGACCTCAATGCCTGGATTAGGATATGCAGAGAGATAGGGGGGCCGCTCTCCAACTCGGGAGTGGCTGCTCTCCTGGCCGCGGCTATACAGCAGAGGGGACCTCGCGGGTTAGAAGGGGAATGTAAGGCTAAAGGGTGTTTTGCCCGCGGGGAGCCAGGACACATTAAACGTCACTGCCCAAACAATGCAGATGCTAGGCCTCGTCCTAGGAATGAAGAACCATATGTTTGTGGGCGATGCAAGAAGGGATCACACAAAGCTGAGGAGTGTGGGTCGGTCTTTGATGCTCAGGGCAACCGTATTTGTGGACAAGATGCTAGAGAGCCAAAAAACGGCCAGAGGGGGCCCCCTTCACAGGCGGGCCCCCGCCCCAGAGACAGGACAGCTCAGGGTGGCAGCCTTCAACAAGGGCCACCCCTGGGTCAGCAGGTGTGGACCTCAGTGTCACCTCCAGACTTATACAGAAGATCACCATTAGGACGGATGGCGTTAGGACCCTAAATGACATGCAAAAGCTATTGGGAGACATTAATTGGATTAGGCCATATTTACATATACCAAATTCAGATCTCAAACCCCTGTTCGACCTTCTGAAGGGAGACCCAGATATAGCCTCCCACAGGAGGCTCACTCCTGAGGCAAGAGCTGCCTTACAGAGAGTGGAAAAAGCCTTAGGTGGGGCTACCTTACACAGAATTGAACCAGGGCGACCCTTTGATGTCTGTTTGCTACAGACTAGTCTACAGCCCACAGCGGTGATTTGGCAGAAAGGACCACTACTGTGGATACACCCTAAGGTCTCACCTGCAAAAGTCATAGAGCATTACCCGGAGGCAGTCGCTTCATTGGCCCTTGAAGCGCATGATAGAGCTGTCCAACATTTTGGCTCAGGACCACAAGCCATCCGAGTACCCTATACCGCCAGCCAGATCAAGACCCTGGCTGCCTGCATAGATACATGGGCCATTCTGAGATGTGTTTTCCATGGGGATATAAACAATCAATACCCTAAAGACCCTATCTTGTCATTTGTCACTCAGCACCCTATAATTTTTCCAAAGGTTACTGCCTCTGAGCCATTAGTCCCAGCAACTACAATATACACAGATGGCTCTAAGACGGGGATAGGCGCCTATGTGATCCTAGGCAAGCCCCCGGTTACCATACAATTTGAACCAGATCAGCCTCAGGTGGTGGAACTGCAGATCGTTAAAATGATTCTTGAACGGTTCTCAGAGGCCATTAACATTGTCTCCGATTCTAGGTATGTGGTCAATGCTATGCAAGTGCTTGAGACTGCCGGTTTAATTAGATCCACTTCCACAGTGGCTGGACTGTTCCTGTCTATCCAGACATTGCTTCAGAACAGACACCATAAGGTCTTCACCACCCACATAAGAGCACATACATCCCTGCCAGGGCCTATGGCACAGGGGAATGCGGCTGCTGACACTGCCACTCGCCCGTTATGGATTTTTACCTTACTAACACCAATCGAGCGAGCCCGTGCCTTCCATGATAAGTTTCATGTCAATGCCAGGACACTAGCAAACCATTTCCATGTTTCTAGAGCAGATGCACGAGATATCGTGCGACTATGTGACTCCTGTGCCACATACAAACCTGCCATACCGATGGGAGTAAACCCTCGAGGTTTAATCCCTGGTGATGTTTGGCAGATGGACATCACACATATACAGGAGTTTGGGACTCTTAAATATGTTCATGTTTCCACAGACACCTGTTCTCACGTCATATTTGCAACAGCAGAAACAGGTGAAAAAGTGTCTAATGTGATCAATCATTGCCTGGCGGCTTGGGCCGCATGGGGCAAACCAAAAATATTAAAAACTGATAATGGACCAGCCTATATAGGCAAAGCTTTCAATGAGTTCTGCAAAATGATGGAGGTTCAATTAAAACATGGTATCCCATACAATCCCCAAGGTCAAGGAATCATTGAGAGGGCTCATAGAAGCCTCAAAGAAATTTTACAAAAACAAAAAGGGGGAGTAGGCCAAGGCCTGGCCCCAAAGGCACGATTATCCATGGCACTATTCACACACAATTTTTTAAATTTAAATAATGATAATCGCTCCCCAGCTGTGGAGCACTGCAACCCTTCCCCCAACCATAAAGGGTGGGTGAAGTGGAAAGATGTCCTGACAGGACAATGGATGGGCCCGGATCCAGTGGTCAGCTGGAACCGAGGCGCGGTTTGTGTTTTCCCACAGGAATCGGGACGAGAACCACTGTGGATACCGGAGAGACTGACACGGACAACAAAGCCCTCGACTAAAGATCAGACCTGCCCTACTGGAGATCCATCACAGACCAACCAATAAGATGAATAGAAATAGCGGTAGCCCGAAATGGACAAGAAGATCCTCAGGCATATGCATGGCTCGCTCGCCTAGCCTACGACCGAGTCTAGGGACGGTGAGCTTCCCACACTCCTCCTCTAAAAAATTATGATATAGCAGGGTAGATGAGTCAATGACGGGTAAGAGCGTGCCTCCCCAGCATGACTCGACCTAAGCCAGGCCCTACCCCATCCTGCACGTAAGCCGCTGGACTGTTAGATGCTGCCCAGGTCTAAATTTCTCTCCGAGGGGATTTCTTTACGGAGAGGAAATGAGTGCAAGCTTGTGTGCATCCAGGTTCCGTCCAGTTTGTGCCTGGCCCTAGAAAAAGGACGAGGGCCTCAGGGCCTTGGCAGACCATGGCATGGCCAACCAGGGTCTAAGCCAAGGACCTACGGTGGGCCTACGCATAGGGCATAAGCCTCTGCACCCAGTCCAGGAAGGGCTACGATGCGCACATTCATAAAAAATAAAATAGGGGGAGATGTTGGGAGCCGCGTCTGTGATAGTTCGCCTTACTTGGCGGACGTGCGGCCTGTAGTAAAGAGTGAAGCCTGAGGTAGATTACCCCTCCCATCGAATATGTTAGTTTCCTGCTTACCGCGTAAACAACCCGCTCAACAATATAGTCTGCCTAGCAACTGATGATGTTAGCCAATCAGCTTGCCTTGCTTACTTTAACATGATTGGACACTGTATCCGTATATATACCGGTGCCACCCCTGGGAGGAAGTAGAAGCCAGGTAGAAGCCCGGAAGTAGAAGCCCAGAAGGAGCTGCGGAGAGCGGACCGATAGAGGCTTCGGGGCAGACTGAAGCACAAGAGGAGCCGCGGAGAGCGGACCAAAGGAGGCTTCAGCTGGGAGAACCCAGGGCAGGCTGTACGGAGAAGAAGAATAAAAAGAAAAGGTTGTCCACTACCAGACTATGTCGTGTGTCCTTCCTGCCGGCCGGGAGCGGACATCGACACAGATTCAATGCAATCCCAATAAAAATACAATCAACATACCTTATAAATCTAGAGAAATCACTCCTAAATTTCATCTGGAACCAGAAGAGACCTAGAATCACAAAGGCAATTCTAAGCAGCAAAGACAAAGCAGGAGGCATCACAATCCCTGACCTGAAGTTATACTACAAAGCAACAGTAGTAAAATCAACATGGTACTGGAATCAAAACAGAGCCGAAGATCAATGGAATAGATTAGAAGATACAACCACAAATACAAACACACTCAACCACCTTATCTTTGATAAAGGAGCCAAGCAGGTTCACTGGAAGAACGACAGTCTCTTTAATAAATGGTGCTGGAAAAACTGGCTCTCCATTTGCTGAAAACTAAAGCTAGACCCATGCCTATCACCATGTACTAAATTAAAATCTAAATGGGTCAAAGATCTGAACATTAAAACAGAAACACTAAATCTATTGGAAGACAAATTGGGTGGAAACCTTGAAGACATAGGAGTAGGTAGAGAATTCATGAACAGGACTCAAACCGCACGGGAAATACTTCCCAGAATCAATAACTGGGACCATTTATTAAAAAGTTTCTGCATGTCGAAGGAAATCTCCAGCATAGTGAAAAGAAAACCCACAAACTGGGAAAAGATTTTAGTGAACTCTTTCTCAGACAAGGGACTCTTGTCTAAAACATATAAAGAATTAAAAAAACTCAGACCCCCAAAATTCAAAGATCCAATCCAAAAATGGGCATCTGAGATGAATACGCACTTCTCAGATGAAGAAATACAAATGGCAAATAAATACATGAAAAAATGCTCATCATCAATGGTCATTAGAGAAATGCAAATTAAAACCACACTGAGATACCATCTCACTCCTGAAAGAATGGCCAGGATCAGGAAAACCAACAACAACAAATACTGGAGAGGCTGTGGGGAAAAAGGAACTCTCCTACACTGTTGGTGGGAGTGTAGACTGATACAGCCTTTGTGGAGGTCTGTCTGGAGATTTCTCAAAAAGCTGGGATTGGAAGTCCCATTTGTTCCAGCTATTCCACTTCTAGGCATATTCCCAGAAGAACTGAAAGCATCATACCACAGTGATATATGTGCACCTATGTTTATAGCAGCACAATTTGTAATCGCCAGATCTTGGAAACAACCCAAGTGTCCATCAACTGAGGAATGGATAAAAAAGTTGTGGTATTTCTATAAAATGGAGTATCACTCAGCTATAAAGAAGGATCACAGTGAGATATTTATCAATAAATGGGTACAGCTTGAGACCATACTCATAAGTGAAATAAATCAATCTCGCATGTGTGAATGCTGAATAGTTTCCCTAATGTAAGTAATGATTCAAATATATAAAAGTATGTGGTAATCAGGATTCCCCATTATGTGGCCTTGAAGCCTCATAAAGTTTTCACTTATTAATTGGAAAGGCTTTATTCTAGCCTTCTTGATATGGAAATATTTGAAGCTATAGTATATGAAGTTATATTCAAATATTTCAAGGAAAAAGACAGACACTATGGTAACTACTATTAAGTCGGGTTATTTGGTGGTGAAGCACTAGGTTGCTGAAACAGTCATGCTTTGACCTGTATTGTTATGTTGTTATGTCCTCTTTTATCTCAATCTCTCCCTTATTCATTAAAAAAACTATTTAGTTATTTTTATGTTTTTTTTAATTAAGGGGGAAAATTTTAAAAATTAGCAAAATATATTATAGTTACTTTTTTGATAGTATACTTTTTTTATAGTAACTTTTTTTTAAACTTTCTTTGAAGTCCTGTAATATTCCTACTATCTTGTTTTGACTGATTAGACTCTGTTCCATTCTGTATGATAGTATCAAGTTTGAGGGTATAGGCAACTACTTTGAAGGCAATAGAATTCACTAAGATGCCCATTCTGGTTTGACTATTATCTCCTATGGAAGTCCTGTTTACAATGGTTAAAATGTTTAATTTTATTGGTCTTGTTTTCTACTGTTTTGTTCAACTTTATAATACCTAATGAGATAGACAATTCTTTTTAAGGAAACAAGAGGTATTTTGGTAACCATTGTTGATAACCTTTTACTCTGTTTTTACATCATGTACTATGTCTATCCTTGGTTTTGACTGACAGCTTTGTTTTGCCATATTTGACTTTATTCTCTTCCAAAAAAAAAAAAGTAATAAGAACTAAGGAGTAATAAAACCCAAAATGTGTAAATTTTGTTGTAAAAAAGAGAGGGGAAAAAAAGTGCTCTAAAGGATACAACTGCAAGTGTGTTTAGGGGTGTTAAATAGCTGACCATATTAATGTTTTTGGTTGGATCATTGAACACAACTGTTTGCAGTCTCTCTGTTTGAATGTTCACTTTGTATGCTTTGATTCTGTGACTTGAGCAACTATCTCTAAGATGATAATGTGTAATCTATTAACTGGTGATTTCTTACTGTTTTTTTTTTTTTTTTTTTTTTTTTTTTTTGTAGTTCTGTATTACTGGTACCCTTACACTGCTTTGTTTTGTTTTGTTTTTTTCTCTTTTTCCTTTTAAATAAAATTTTAAAAAAAGAAAGAAATCGCACCTAACTTTTCAGAAATCTTTACCTTAGTGGTTGACATCACATTGGCTATTTTCTATAAGTCATAGTCAGAGTGTTTACTCCAGAGGAATCAGCTGAGAAATCACAGACCGTGGGTCTTTTTTATCCTTCTGGAGAGCTAATTGTTAAACCTCTATCAACACATCGCTGTGTATGTCTCTATTTCTCTGTGAGTTAACATCTTCCATTGTGCCTGGCACATACAGACATTTAATAAATATCTGTTAAATAAACTGGTGTGAATGAAAAAGTCAGACTATTGAGGCTGCCTCTTTGGGAGGTTTTCCCAGGCTCTGTGGGCAGAGCCAGTCTTTCCTTCATTGTATTTCCACTGTTTGACATTCTGACACTGATTAAGTTGAGTTGTAATTGTTTTGCAAGTTAGTTTTCCCACCAGTGTGAGGACAGCTCACCAAACCATCTCTCATGGAGTAGCAATATATCGAAAGGATCCAGGACAGATCCCCTGATTTCTAACTTCAGTGTTGCCACATGTTAGCAACTGACCCCTCCTCCTTAGACTTTACAGCCAGAGTTGAGATTATTTTAGATTTTTCTTTTAGAGATTTCTGGGAGAATGACACAGGCTAACACAGTTTACCCATGAGCATAGTAAATACTGGATGAATGATTAATTTCATCTCATTCATTTCTTCCCAGTACGGAGCACAGAGTGGTGTTCATAGACTAGTCGGTGACTGTATTCCGTATTTCAACCTGTGTACTAACTGCTGTTGGATCCAGGATAAATTAAGCCTAAGATTCCAATTTCAAGATTTTCCTTAAGGATAGTTTAAAGACAGATACTTATAAATAAATGATAATGGGAACAGAAAAAAGTAGAAGACCCTTCGAGAATTAATGTTGGAATCACAGAGGTTATATTCTCAAGAAGCTGGGGACAATGAAAAAGAAAATGAGTCACTTCATTGGCCTGGGTAACATAGGCAAAATTATTTTCCTGTGGGACAGAAGTGATCAGTAATACTAGGCCGACATTTGTCCTCTGTCATCCCAGAGACAGAAATAATTGAGGAACTACTTACCTATGGCTGGTCCACTTACTCTATGCCTACCTTCTACTCTCCAATCACCTTCTGCCTTCTTTGTGGGTGCCCTGGAGACGAGGCAGGAGATGATTTGCACAGATGGTCAGCATTCTCGCCATGGGAAAATTCTGTTGATAGATGTTTATGATATAGTTTTTGATGCACTGTTCCGGTGACACTTAATTGCCTGTGTGATCTATCACCTCTATAACTCCTTGAGGGCTAGATATGCTTCAGGATTCAAAGTTTTAAAACAAATATAAGAATAGCAGTGTCAGCAGAATCTATATCAGTGCGTCAACGTTGGAAATAGTATTCCTGCGACATTCACCCGTGACTACATTTCATGGAATACCCAGGTTATAGTATGCAGATGCCTGGTTTCCTGCCTGGGTTGGATGGCCCATACTGCCTACCTTCCGGGTGGGCAGCTGAGAGGGGACTGAGCAGGCCCCCTGGCTACAGCTGGTCATTTCCCTTGGGTCATTTCATGCCAGGTTTGGCTGCATGAGTTATAAACAGGGTTATAAACATGAGTTATAAACAGAAAGCCAGCTCTATCTTTTTGAGCTCTGGGCTTTAAGAATTGCAGAGTGGTGTGGGTTCATGATGGACCTCGGGCTGCGGAAGGTAATCACAGGGAAATGGCCAGGCTTCAGCCAGTGGGCCTGCTCTGTCTCCTCTCCTCTGTCCATCCAGACAGTAGGCAGTATGGGACCATCCAACCCACGCAGGAAAGCAAACATCTGCTGAAGGCTGCCAGGTAGACACGAGGATATATGGCCAAGGCCTGCCAAGAGTCTGCCTAAGTGACGTGCTGGGTAACATGGAGCCCAGGGCCCGTTGGCTGCCCACAGCAGTTTCTCAGGCCCTTCCCTTTGGAGGGGGAGAAACAAGCCCCCCAGTGAGGCCGAGCTCATGCTGCTGTGTATGCCTAAACACCCGAAGGTCGGATTTGTTAACTTCATATCTCTTAGCGAGGAGTTCATGTCAGACCCACCACAGGCCTAACCATGGCTCCCGCTGGGCCCCGGATGAGGACAAATGGTTAGGCTAAGAGTGCAGGCCAGCATGAATAGGCCTAAATTAGGCCGGCCCTAATAACCCGTTTACCAACACCTGTATTAGCCCTCTATGGCTAAGGATGAACTGCTGTCCACAAGCCGTAATCCCATAAGCTGCTCATTTGCATATCCCTCATTAGTTATGAAAACTTGAAGAAGGCAGGTTTCTGCAGCTGGCGGGCCCATTCCTTCACACTGCCTGCCTGGGTGGCTTTGGGGGTGAAGTCATGTGGCTGGAGGT